TCTTCCTCCATCTCTGTAACACAGCTGTGAAATCCCACACCAAAGTAGCTGCTGCTTTGCCTTTATTCTGTACAAAATAATATAAAAAACAATTTACGTTACACCAAACAAAAAAAGAACACACGTCTCTGTTTTAAAGAGTATATCCTGCCGACAACGCCAAGTTTGTGGCGAGACGAGGATGGGATATAAAGTAAATACTCTGCAGTTTTAAAGAACGACAACGCCACTCTGGGAATTTCACCCAGAGAATACTGGAAATGACACTAAATCACCAAAAAGGCACTTAGGTTCGCTATACTCAATCCAGAGACGAGGTTCAATGATCAACAAATTCACAATTTATTAATAATTATTTAAAACACCATATAAAAGCACAATCATAAATATTCAAATACAAATATGCTTAAAAAGGTATTCAGAGCTGAGGCTTACCAGTGGAGGGGCAGGGATGCCACACACACAAACTAAAGAAAGAAAACACACCCAAAACACAAGTGCAGCACACTATCACACACTCACACTAATAAACTAAACAAGGCAGGTGTGTACACTCAAGGGATCCCACCACCAAGGCACCCTAGTCTCCTCCACGTCGGCACTCCGCATCTGAATAAAAGAAACAAAGAAAATTTTAATATATTACAACAAACTAATGTGTAGCACCGGGGGATAACCCAACTGCAAGACCATACTGGTGATCCACAGCTAGAAAAAGGGCCTCCCACCAGTGGTGTAACAGAAAATCCAAACTACAAATCAAAAAGCAATAAAACAACATACAATCTGAATAAAACTCTAAAATCTGGAGCAAACGGAATCGCCGTACTGCTCCAACTTGCCGTCCACACGACGATAAGTTAACAGTCAATCAATATGCACGCCAGCTGACTCCGATAACCGGCATGCATATGGCCGTTGTCCACGCCGACGTCCACTGTAAAAGCTGACAGCAGCAGGGAAGAATTCTCACAACGGGAACAGACGGTAAAAGCACAGCAAGGCAAAACAGCAGCACTTCAGTTCGCGTAGCTTGGCGCAAAACTAAGGTCCACACTTCCTGCGAAACATAATAAATAATTACTATAAAAGAACAATAGAAGGCAGAGAGCGTAACAAAAGTTGATTACGTACCAAGTAAGCCGGGTCACAGAACGTAAGCAGAATAGCTCAGAGGAGGCTTCTATAGCTACGACCAGCCGCGATGGAGACTTTAGAGGAGTAACCCACAAACGATCTCTACCACACCGAGGAAGTCAGGTGACCAAAAAGGAGATCACAGGCAAGCGATGCAGAGACACTCAAATGGCCACTATTTATACTAGCCCCCCCTAATGGGCCAGGCTGAAAGTGGGTTGGACCGAGGGATAACATTCATCCTGCCACAGTAACAACCAACGATTTATACAGGAAAATAATGTCTATTAACAAGGTTGCCCAAACTTTTGCATCCCACTGTATTAGTATATTTTGTCATTAGTATAATATGAAATAAATTCTACATGTGTCAAGTCGTGTGCCAACATTTGCTGTGTAGTAGAACTGAGACATTAGTCATTATAAACATTTATTTGAAATAATATTAAAAGTCTCAAACAGAAAAACATTAAACATAAATATATAAAATATAAGAATTTACAGAGAGACAGGAATAAAAAGGACCCAGCTGCTCTCCAGAGCAGGAACAAGGCTGAGGAGGAAATGCTCCATTGGAGACTGGTGTGGCCTCTTCAGGGACTCCAGGATGGCCAGCTCCACCGCCGATGGACCGTCCTGGGACCCGTCCCTCATCTGCCTCGGAGCAGTCCTCCTCTGTGGGCCTGTAAAACAGCACAAAACACAAAGAAATGAGAAGGCTGCTACTAGATTTTAATTTCAACATTGAAAAAAAAAAGAAAACAATAACAGGATATAATCAGATTGGTTGTAGATATTTAGTAAAGGTGATCACAAGGGAATCCCACCGACTAAAAAGGTATCAGTGCTTGCTGTACATATCTGTGGGTGCAGCAGCAGGAGCTCAGGGACTGGGGATGCTCTGCTGCAGAATCAGTTGGTTCTATCAATATAGTATTAAATGTTAACAGGTTGGATATAATAATCGTAGAGTAGACAGTGGTCCCTCATTTATTGCAGGGGTTCTCAGAATAACTAGCCCCTGGTCACAGTTCTCACAATTGATTCTCAAAGTGCAAACCTTTGTAGATTGCAAAACGTAAAAGTATTATTATGCCGCGGTTTGTCTTCATCTGCCCGCCACTTTCGTGCGCCTTTTTCCCTCACGGTGCAGGTGTCTATTTCCGAATGAGGGTCTTAGTTATGGGTGTTTTTGTGCTGTTTTTTCTATTGGACGCGATGGTTATCAAAACCAAACGTGATAAATTTGGCAAGCGCAGGAGACACGGCACGGAGCAGATTTGTCAATCAGGCTGCAGAATGCAATGCTGTACTGTGCAATAAAAAATCAGCGAAAAAGCAAAGCAGTGACGGATGAACAGCGGGACCACTGTATGCTGTTTATTAATAAACAATAAAATATATTCCTAAATGACAACATGCATAAAAGCAGAACGGTATTTGTACGTCAGTGGGAAAATAGCGGTGGCTTGCTAGCTTTTGTGCGGCTTCCCCGGGTCAGTGAAAACTTTCAAAAGAGAAATGAATGAACTTACCAGGTTGCCCGATCTCTTTACACATCTTCCTCCAAGCTCGGTCCTTTTTATTCCTGTCTCGGTACTGAAAGCAGCTGGTGTCGTACAGCTCCGAGTTGTTTGCTACCGCATTGATTAGCCTTCCCCTCCATTGAAGTATGAAAGGCTTTGGCTGGATCTGCCCCTTTGACCTAGGTAACAGCCACGTCACCAGGCTCCTGATTGGTTGTCGCGGCGCGATTTGACGCTGGAGATCAGATTTTTCCAACTCGAGCGGTAGATGCGAAACGCGCGTATGCACAAAATGCAACACAAAAACTCACGCGCGTGGTTTTATTCGCGAGTCAAACGCGCCAGACGCGCTACACTGACGCGCGTTTCACATGTTTTGGCGTTTTCGCGACGCAAATCTGCTTCCGAATTTTCGCGGGACCCGCAATCGCGCGTCAACGCGCCTTTCCATTGACTTTACATATAAACCTGACGCTCTATTCGCGTCCATCGCGTTCGGTGTGAACACGGCTACCTGGACCTCCCCTAACAGCAGTGTCAAGGCCTATTCCTTGCCCAGTTATGGGCACACATCTCACTTTGGTTTAGAAAATCTCAACTAAAGCCTCTGAATCGTCGCTTTCCTCTATTTGGTGGAGCACCACTGGCAGGAGCCAGAGTGACCAAAAAGGTTTGATGAAACCGTTTGCATCTGCCTGAACCTGCAGTTTCTTTAGCTGTTCACTATGCACAGCCACCTGCTCCTGGTGCATCACCGCCAAATCTTCCACCATCTGCATTTCAGCTGCCCTCTTCAGCTCGCACGCACCACACAGCTTTCTCCTCTGGGCATTGTCAGCTACTGAAATAGGGAACCCAACCCCTCCCCTGTAGCTGAGCCACAAAACACCCCGCCACACTGCCTCTGGGACCAAGCCCCAGGTAATGCTTGAGTCCTCCCCCTCGTCCCAAGTCTTTGCTTCCTCGCTCTGTCAGTGGGATTAAAGAGGTCCTCAAAGTGTTCCTTCCACCGCCTTCCACAGTATCCTCAGTTGAAGTCAGCGACACTCCACTCACACTGTACACATTGTTGGTAGAGCAACTCTTTAACCTTCTGAGCTGTGTTCCGCTTGGCCTGCTGGTGCCTATCAGCTGCCTCTGAAGTCCTACAGGCTAACCAAGCCTGATACGACTGGTTCTTCTGCCTGATTGCTCCCTGCACCACAATAACATTACCTTAATTTTATTGCACAAAAGGATGAGAGAGCGATGATAAAGTGGAGACTACTCCAGGACAGAAATAACTGCCTTACACTGTTAACACAACTTCGGCTCTTCACAAGCACCTGCACAGACAGCATGCTAACGCCAAGAATCCAGAGTGATGTTAAAGCTGAGTAAATGCTGAGCCCAGCCCAGCACTGTGATAAAGTGAGCCGTCATTTGCCATGAAGCCGCTGCTGAACTTAAACAGGTAACAAACTGATGAGCAGTCAGGCTACAGCCTCTGTTTTTACATGTTCATGTGTCCAAAGTAGAAACACTGTGGTGATTGCTTTGAAGTGTCTTTGTGCTGGTTTTCATGTTTTGTTGGGCTGTCGGCTTTGTGTTCATACCTAAATACAAAGAGAAAGATGTGTGTTGGGATTTGTGTTGATGTGTGGGGCTGTAGCTTGTTGTTTTTTTATTGTTAAATAGTATTTATGAGACATTGTGTTGCAGATCATTTTACAGAGAAACATGAAAGCAACTTAACAAGTAGTATAACGTATGTCTGGGTGTAATGTACGGCATTACTTTTAAGAATTTTTTTTAACATGCATAATAACATTTTTACTTTACTTATCAATAAGGGAATCAATAAAGAATTGAATCGATAAGTGATATCGATAATGGAATCAGAATCGCTAAGTTCTCATCCCTACCAACCACCTTGTGGCCATAGCTCAGTGCAGAAGCCCCAGCAATAGAAGTGCTGATCATGGCCCACCGAGGCCTCAGCCGGGCATTCCCAGTGCACCCTCACTATACATTTGGATGCGCCAGGTTTTGGTTAGCACCCTTCCCCACCACCTGATCGAACTCACCAATAGGCGGTGGTCAGTTGACAGCTCAGCCCCTCTCTTCACTGGACTGTCTACAACATACTGCTACAGATCTGATGATACCCTTTGAAACCACCGACTGGGATATATTCTACATTTTTGCTTGTTGTTTGTATGTTATTTACATTGCTTTTCTTAAAGCATGTTGATACTTCTTTCTCAGACATAGACTGTATAAATTCACCTGCAGTTTGGATTACAGGGCCAGATGATCCTGAGGGTTTAAAATAACAATGAATACTGAAGAACTCACTTGTCAGAAAGCTGTCCAAACATAATGGCTCCACATGTGACCCCAAGAAAGAAATAAGTAGCCAGAGCTTGATTCAGGTGTTTGTTGTCGCACACCAGATCCCACTGCAGAGATACAACATACAACAGGCAGTTAACAAGCAGATAAAAAACTGAGGTTGTGATCACAGAATGACAGGTTAAGTACCTTTGATTATGGCAGCAATGACACCAAGAGAATTACATTTATCTGTCAAGAGACTATATTCATTTCTGTTTCTTCAGTAGTACACTGTTGTAAATTCCTTTTTTTTTTTTTTTTGCTCAAACAATTATTTGCGTATATAACATTAGAGGTAATTCCTTAGCCTCTCCTGGAAATTTATTTAGCACTTCCTCACATCTGATCAAATTCCTGCCACAAGCACAAGGCTGACAACTTGGAAAAATGAAAAAAAAAAAAAAGTTTTTCAAATAATTCATTATGGTGGGGCGTGGTCTGTGGTGCCCGCATCCTTAATCACGTCCGCCGAGTTAAAACACGGGGACTCAGGTGTTGGTGTGTGCTGTGGTGTGATGTGAGCTAAATAAATGGCTCATGAGTACGATCTGTGGTCCCACGGTGCCTTAATTCTACCACACTGGTGCCGAAACCCAGGAGGTGACACGGTGGGTCCTTACCAGAGCCAGGGAAGGGAGGAGCTGGCCCAGATGCTGGCTGAAATGGCGGCCACAGTCGTCGGAGGCACGCCACAGACAGGAAGAGCTACGGGACCAGGCTGGGCGCCACCTGGGGCGAATTGCGGAGCTGGCAACGCTGCTCCAGGCGTGGTCGACACCACTGCTGCCAACCTGGTGGTGGGGAAGCGGTGGAGGAGCTGTGTGGGGAACCTCGGCAGCCGGAGGCGGGGCATGAGGCGCGCGGGGGTCCGGCCGGATGGCTCCCCGGCCACGATTGGGCAATGGGGGTATGTGGTGGGGCGTGGTCTGCGGTGCTGTGCAGGGAGGTCGGACGCATCCTTAATCACGCCTTGCCGAGCTAAAACACGGGGACTCAGGGGTTGGTGTGTGTTATGGTGTGATGTGAGCTAAATAAATGGCTCATTAGTACAATCTGTGGTCCCGCCATGCCTTAATTCCATCACATTCATATAGATTGATAGATAGATATACTGGTAACACTACACGCCTTTAGAACTTCAGACTCGGGGTTCTCCTGGCCAGGGCATCTGTATACCATAAGGGTCCCTAGGCTAAACCACCCATGCTAACCAAACCTACCTCAGATATGCGTAAGAGACAGATAATTGAAGCCACTGGCTTGATCGTCACTCGGATTAACAAGTTCTGCGTCAGTTGTTGAGGAACCAGGAAACACTGATGAGAAGTCGACTACTGGAACAAGAAGCCTTAAAATGGGCAAGACATGACAACAGCGCATAAAACCCCAGTGGAAGCGTTTACATGAAGAAGATGTGGGACCTATGGAATCTTCAATATCCAGCATTTAGAGGGACTGCGAAACAACTAGTAGCTCAGTGTTCAAAAATTTCAATAGAACTGCTATCACAGCTGGAGATCAATGAGGTACAACACAAATGCTATGGCAAGGGGGAACCAAGATGTCAGGTCAGATACCCATCCGAGATTAGGTACCAAGCCCCAAGAATGACAGAAGGAGCGTTGAGTGCGACATCCAAGAAAGAGTCTCTAATATGAGAAGGTGAACAGCACCAGGCACCAACATTATTCATGCCTACTGGCTGAAGAAGCTGCCTGCTCTCTATGAGCGTCTGGCAGCACAAATCAACCTGCTGGTAGTCAATGAGAGACACCCAGAATGGTCAACTGAAGGCCGAACAGTGCTGATCCCCAAGAATCCCCAGAAGGGACCGGTCCTATCCAACTAGCAGCCAAAGAAATAATAAGGGATAATAAGCTGGCCAAAGGAGAAGAGCCACTGATATCAAGACAGTGAAGCACCTGACCATGCATGGAGGGTTTCACTGCAAGTCCAGCACCCTGAGACTGTACGCTAAGCAGAAGGAGGGCAAGGACTGGTGAGTGTCAGAACCATTGTCCAGGAGGAGACAACAAGCATCCATGAGTCCCTGAGAAAATCCAGCACATAACAGCAGGGGGCAAGATGCTTACAGACAGGGAACACCATTACCAAGTGGCCAGCATAGTACACAGAAACATCTGTGCTGAGAAGGCCTGGAGTCCCTAGATCAAAATCGGACACGCCCCTTGGGGTGGTTGACAGTGACCGAGCCAAGATCCTGTGGGAATTCCAGTTACAGACAGACAAACTGGTGATGGCTAACCAACCAGACAGACTAGTGGTGGATAGACAGAGGTAGACTGCCGTTGTGATAGATGTAGCTATACCGAGCAATAGCAACATCAAGAGCAAGGAACACGAGAAGTTGGAGAAGTACCAAGGGCTGAGAGAAGAACTTGAGAGGATGTGGAAGGTGAAGGTAACAGTGGTCCCAGTGGTAATCAGAGCACTCAGTACAGTGACCCCCAAGCAAGGCGAGTGTAACCAGCAGATCCCAGGAACAACAACTGGGATATCTGTCCAGAAGAGCGCAATCCTAAGAACAGCAAAGATGCTGTGCAGGACCCTCAAGCTCCCAGGCCTCTGGTACAAGACCTGAGCTTGGAGGATAGACCGTCCAAAGGGGCGAGAGGGGAACTTTATATATATTCTGTTCTAAATTAGTATTTTTCATCTCACAGTCTTAAGTACTAATCAAGGTTCAGGTCCAATCACAGTACAGAAACAACTCTTCCTAAAATCATCAATAACCTAAAGATCAACAGTGAGAGTTTCACTTTTAGGTCTGTTTGATCTTACAGCTGCTGTTAACAACTGTTGATCATAAAATTATATTTCAAAGGCTCCAAGACTCAGTTGGTTTGGGGGTCAGGTTCTTTATTGGCTTTCATCTTATCTAAATACAGAAGTGTTTGTTTCAGTTTTACATTACAAAATTTAGTCAGCTCCTCAAGGTCAGGCATTGGTCCATTAATCCCCCTTTTTTCCCCGTCTGTCTTTTTATGTCATAAAAATAGATGTGTGGCAGTGGTAGAGAGTGGCCCAAATTCAAAACTCAGCATAGATAATGAAAGTCAACTGGCAGCTGGCAGCAACAAAAATGATAATAATAAAAAAAACAACAAGAGGCAAAACAGACTGATAGAACACACCATGAGAGAGGATGCAACATTTTTACACCATGACACCAAGACAAGTTCCTCATTTGTGTACAAATGTTAGTTGCAATGATGATGTTAACTGCTGGATGTCTTGAAACATTTTAGAACTGAATATTGACAAGACAGAAATATTTGTTGCATTCAAAATGCAACACAGATAATCCTTAATGGTATGTTTAAATTTGATATCACCGCAGAGTTTAAGTCACTTCATTGCCTCTCAGTACAATATAGAATTACTTTTAAAATCCTGTTAGTGACTGACTTGCACACTTTTTATAGTTTAGTCAGACGTCTCAGGTCATGAGGTGCAGATCTCCAGAATTAGGTTTCCAAAATCAGATTTAAGTGTGCTGAAGGTGCCTTAAGCTATTGTGGTCCTGTTCTTTTGGAACAAGCTGCCTGCAGGCATGAGCTCAGTTACAACTGTGCACATATTCAGAAACAGACTCAAAATGTTTTTTATTGAACCAGGCTTACACTTCATACGTGCTGTTGATTTGCTTTGGGGTTTTTTGTTTTGTTTTTCTGCTTCCATTGCATTAAGGCACTGTAAACCTACAGAGGTTTTATGTTTTTGTCTTCTATGTTCAGTACATTGAACTTACATGTAATGAAATGTGTTAAGTAAATAAAATAGGCATTGCCATTGCTAAATGGGCCTACTTGACACTGGCTAAGGAAACCCAAGGGTGAACCTGGGTTCCTATTAGCTTGAAGTAAATAGGAAGTCAGCAGTGGCTCATAAAAACCACTCATTACATCTCTGAAAACCAGCAGAAGAAAAACTACAGATATTAGCTCAAGCAGAAGTATAGATATTCTTCACTTAAGTAGAAAACTGAGATACTCTCAGCTTCTTTACTCAAGTAAAAGCATGAAAGTACAGTATAATAGTATAAAAGTGTAAGCATAAATAGGAAGTGGTTATTTCTACCAGCTAAATTAATGTCATGCCATATTAATTTTCAGTTCAATTCAATTAAATGTCATTTATATGGCCCCGAACAACAGTTGCCACAAGGCAATTTATATTGTTAGGTAAAAACCCTACACTAGTACAAAGAAAAGCTATATATATGTATGTGTGTGTGTGTGTGTGTGTGTGTGTGTGTGTGTGTGTGTGTGTGTGTGTGTGTGTGTGTGTGTGTGTGTGTGTGTATATATATAGCTTTTCTTTATTTATTTGTAGCAGAGATAAATATTTATTGTTCCCTATATTGTAGACAGGTGATTTTGCCTCCACACCTAAATACAAATAAATAGAAATGTTAACAGTTTAGTATAGTGCTATGAATGATGCATAAATTCACTATCTGGGACACTATACGTTCAGTTTGAATTGATGCCCAGGAGGGGCACAGTGGTGCAAAATGATTAATGTTTCCTTTCAAATGTGTTAATCTAACAATAATAAGACTGGATCATTACTGGTTCTATTCAGACATCATTAATTTGATTTTAGTGAGATTTGGTCAATCATAACCAACAGCTATTGTGTTATCAGTAATGTTTTGTCTCTCTTTGTTGATTAAGTTTGAATGGAAACAGACTCTGGATAAATCAGTAACTTTGTTCTATGAATGCTCAGTAATATAATGCAGTGAGTTGTTATGAAGTGCAGCGTGTAGAGAAAAAAATCAATGTTTTCCTTCTTATTAGTAGAAGTTTTTCTTAGTAGAGATTTTCTTGTGCTAATCATTTGCGATAAAATACTCTAACAGAGCTTAGATTTTCATCCTTACCTCTGTGGCAGTTGTAGAAAGAAACTGTGACTGGTCGTAGACCCATCCATGTGGACAAGGTGCAGACTGGTTTCCTTGGCTGATGTTAAAGGCTGGAAGGGGACTGTAAATCCTGCAAGAGCTAAAGGAGCCATCGTCCTGGCGGGGAATCCTAAGGGAAAGCACCTCAGAGTCCCAACTGTCCTTCTCATTTTCTTGTGTACTCTGAAGGGAACAGCGGTGAGATGGTATGACTGAGATGAAGTTGTGCAGGAGAAAGTGGAGTGGAAGGATGGCACGGGGAAGACACAAGATAAGCAGGACCAGGAACTGGAACTTGGAGAACCCACCAACATTATCCAAGATCTCCTCAAACCTCATGATGGTGAGACAGAAGGGCTGAGGGTTTGTGTCTCCAGAGTTCTCAAATCAATGTGTTATTCTTTGCTTTCCATCTAATGCCGTGTCTCTCTCTCGTGTGGTGATGAAGCACAGAGAGAGCTTTTTTAAGAGTGTGTGTGCGTGTGTGTGTGTGTGTGTGTGTGTGTGTGTGTGTGTGTGTGTGTGTGTGTGTGTGTGTGTGTGTGATGTCACATGTAAAATCATTCACTGTTGCAGGGAGAAGAAGCAAGTCTTGCTATTGGAAAAAAAGAAAAAAACTTTGTTAACATTAGAATACCTTTAAATTAGGTTCATGTGAAGTTATATTTAGGTTAAGGATAATGCACACTTAGGGGCCAAGTTTATGTTCATGTATGTTGTATGTTTAGCTTATTGTAAGTTTAGGTAAAGATTAGTTTCTGTTTTATGTGATGTCAGAGTCAAAGTTAGAATAAGATGGCTCTGATTTTTCTCTGCATTGAATAAATGTTACTGCATATTACTGCAAGAATAAATGAATCACACTGATCTGAGCCCTATACCATGACGCAAGTTCAACATATCCAGTTCACTTACCCAAACATTGGCAATCAGGATAAGCAGTCACATGAAGCTGGTTATCAACAGTTTCCCCAGCGTGTTCACATCAAATGGCTGGCATTGGGTGCATCTGACCAATCACAAAGGAACCTTTCACAGATCATATGACTCTTCTTCCACAGCAAAGTTTTCCTTATTAGTGACAGCTAATGCATCAAATGGTACCAAAATTCTCTAAACATCATAGAAATATGCCAGTCAAATGCAACACTGTTGAAAAGAAAAACTAATTAAAATGCCATAGAAAATCTTTTAGTTGATCTGGTGATTTAGTGCATGCAATAAGCATTTTAATTCCATTTAATAGTTTTATCACTGAGTGTGACGGTTCCACATTTTACGCAAACAAGTCAACTAAGGCATTTGTTTGATCACTTAGATATAAAAAGCTTGATTTATATAAATATATTATGTTTATAGTTATAAAATGATTCATTTTTGTTGAATCAAGTAAAATTCAGATCAGATCGATGTGTGTTCACCCAATGAGAAGTGATTACTTTCAGCACTGTGATTCTTTCATTACTAACTAACTCCACACCCTGGAAAAAATTAAATTCAAAGCAAGCAGGAAAGTTGGATAGCTGGTAAACTAACACATCTTCTGAGCTACCAGTTGTGGAACTACTTTTTTACATCCTTAATAGCAAGGGTAAGTACTGTAGGTCTCAGAAGGCAGTGAGTCCTATAATTTCAGTCTTAACATTTCTGCCACACTGAGACAATCTTTACACATACCTACACAATGAAAAAACTACTAGAAAATATTGGAACATGTCTGGTTAGTTGCAGATATATGCATGTTTTGTTGAAAACTGTAGTAGGCAGAACGAGCATGGTTAATCTCTTCTTCCTAACTTTTCAATGTAAAAAGTATTAGAGAAAAAAACAGGACCTTCTAATTAAGTTGTTGTTTGTAATAGTTTGCATAGTAGTGTTTTTTTTTTTGGGGGGGGGGGGGGGGGGGGGAGTGCATTTAATCTGGAGTCAGCACATTAGTCTTGCTGTAGGTATTGTATGTTGTATGTTTTCCCTTTTCTGACTGGTTAACATCATTAAACAACTGCATCAAGGTTGAAATTAGTGTTTCTTGTTTTTTTTTACAGTAGAATTTTTTTAATATTCTTGTCCTTACCAGGAGTACATAACAAAATAAAGGAGTCCCCTTCGTCTGCTTGTTGGAACCTGCTCTTTAATCCACAGTAAGTTTTCACATATTTCACATTTATGTATTCAGTGTCATGCGGCCCACAGACTGACCCAACAGATGGATAATTAGCGCTTCATCACATGGGACTCGGAACATAAATACACTGTGGGGAGACACTCTATAATACAAAAAACAGACCCGTTTACAGTGTGCAGTGATCACATTAGTCAAAACGAAGTGGACTTTAAGGCACTGTACAGACTGGCAGCTGTGAATACACCCATATTAATCTATGTTTTATGTTCTAATCTATGTTCATTTTGGTATCTTAATGTTTCTGTCAATGGGAACTGACTTCACACTTAAGACTCTGTCTGAAGTGGACTCTAGAGGAACTGCTATTTTTGTCACTTTGTGTTGGTTTAAACATGTCAGATATACTCATTTATTCGTTTTTTTGTACCTCTTAAAGTACGATCTTCAAAGTCTTTATGTAATCATCAGAAACACTGTTAAATTATCTATGATGAAACATGAAAAGATAAAATATTCACATTTTGTTTTCACTTTATAAAAAGTATGACATGGATAGATGCATTGTTGTCAGAGGCAATAAGATAACAAGGAAAACAATGATGTCTGTCAGGTGACGAAAAGACAGTCATGGGAGATTTCAAAGTACAATAAACTAATTTGTTGGTCAAAACCCAGGAGACACATAAGTAGAGTGAATGAAAGACATGCCTAAAAAATATCACCTGACTTTGAAAATTAACTTTCCTAAAGGCCAACTCCTACTCTTTATTGTATCCTTCATTTATTGATGAAGGAAGTTTTTTAGTCACGAGTCTGAATACCACATGACTGAAATTGTGAAAGTGGGAAGAACAGATGAGATAAAAAAAAGAGAAGAAAAAAATAGGAAAAAGACCAGCTGACCTCATCATTTTGACAGTGAAGACTACTGTTTACCTTCCATTTCTCACAGAAAGTCAAGCACTAGTCCTGAGCATGACCTTTACTCATTTATTTGCCAAAATGGAACCTATCTTTGAAAGGAACCTAACAGTATCTTTGGGTATGTTTCTCTTTTGATGTTTAGATATGAAAACAGTATGTCACACCCAACTTCCAGCTTTATGGTCCAGAATAAATAATTGATGCATTGTGTTTATTTATTTGCAGGATATAATGGTGCTGTTCAGTTAAACTCTCCTAGTCTCAGCTAAGCATAAAACTGACAAATCAGGCCTAACAAAATTAAAAGTCAAAATAAGACTCTTTGTACAACTCTTTATAAAAAAAAAAATATTGGACCGTCATTTATTTTTCAACAGGACAATGACCACTAGACTGTATAAGGGCTACTTGACCAAGGCGGAGAGTGATGGAAGTGCTGTGCCAATTCTAGCACAGCAATTAGTCACCTGACCTAAACCCAATCAAGATGGTTTGGGACTAAATGGACCGCAGAGTAAAGGCAAAAGCATCAACAAGTGTTCAGGAACTCCTTGAAGACTGTTGGAAAACCCACTTCAGGTGACTACCTCATGAAGCTCATCAAAAGAAGACCAAGGAATCTAAAATATAAGACATGTTTTGAGTTATTTCACACATTTTTGTTTACTACACGATTCCATATGTGTTTATTCATAGTTTTGATGCCTTTAGTGAAAATGAAGGCTGCTAGCAAGCCTTTAGTGATGAAAGTAAAGAAAAACCATTAAATGAGAAGGCGTGTCCTAACTTTTGACTTGTAGTGTATTTTCCGCACATTATTTAATTATGGCAGAATGCAAAAGCATATACACTGTTGTTGCTATCATCTCTGACTTGCTGTTTTGTATCACGTCTAAAATACATTCTTTTCTGACAGGACCAACCAACAATCAATTTACATTTAAATTTAGATTTTCATTTTTGAATGAAAAACCATCGCAGTGCCATGCTTTCATGTTCAGAAACATTACTCAGCAATAAACATAAAATGAAAGCATCACTTTTTTCTGATGTATCTTGCCTTTTCAGTGTGCACAACCGCTGTTGTTATATTTATAGACACCGTGATCAATGCAAAGCACGCATAGTGTAGAAAGCTGTAAGTGAATGAACTTCCATTAGCACTGCACCCCCTGGTGGATACACAAGACATTACCACTGGTTTTCATAAATGCTGCTTGGCACCAGTAGCGGTTTTAGATACGGGCGACACGGGCAGTTACCCAGGGCGGCATCGTGGTGGGGGGCGGCATCACGGGCATCGGCAAAAAAAATAAAAATGCTAGTACTCATGCTGCCTCGACGTCAGCCAGCGCATATTGGGAATGGCATAGGCACCGATCGGTTTTCTATCGCCCATTTGCTGGGAGTAAGGGCGCCTGCTGCTTGCGGCGCAGAGAGAAGAGGGCGGGGTGGCGGGGGATTTTCTGGTGCCCCAAGGTACTGGAGCAGCATCTAATAACCAACTCGCAAAATAAAACAAAATAAAAACAAACCAACAAACACGAAAACACCAGATATCATGATACAGACTTATAATTTGCACCGATGTTTTTTCGAAATTCGAAAGAGTTGAGCGCGCACGGGCAGAAATGTTGAGAGCACGAGCAACACATTGTGAGCAAGCGCAAATGCAAAAACTGAGCGAGAGGGGCTGCTATTGTGTGTGTGTGTGTGTGTGTGTGTGTGTGTGTGTGTGTGTGTGTGTGTGTGTGTGTGTGTGTGTGTGTGTCTCCTCAAAATGCAACACTTGCACCTGCAATTTTTTTTTTACATGCGCTCATATTAGTGGCACAAAAATAACGCCATACCAAACCCCTATGGCATTTTGTGTGGGTGGTGATCTTGCATTGTAATTTTGTACTCTTGTACTCCCCCAGCATCATTTCTATATTATAGATTCAAAATGCACATTTTTGAGTAAATCAGAGTTGTTTTGTTTAATTTTTATTCCACATGACAGATGTTTGTAAGTTTTTAGAAGACTTTGTTTTTAATGGTTCAACTTTTGTCAGGGTCCCTTGGTGCTTGCTGTGCGACTTGCCATTTCCTGTGTGTTTTTGTGTTCTCTGTCTCCTCTCTCCCATTTCACAGTTTTTTCACACACCTGCTCATGATGACCTCATGACCTGCTTTATAAGGAAGCAGTAGGCAGTCAGTCTTCACTGCATCGTTGCATGAAAACAGTTAGTGAATCATGGTGCCAACTTTTGTTGTGTTTTAGTACTTATTGTGAAGGGTATTTTTGACCTGCCTGTCCCTGTGCTCAGGTTTATTTGGAGATTACTTCACAGTGGTGCAGCAGACTCGAATGAGGA